GGGGGGATGGGGCGGTGAAGAAAGAAATTGTTCGAGGTTTTAGTCCTGAGCTTTAATTTCTCGCCCTTTTATGAAGTTCTGCGTCCTCGGAAAAACGAGCCAGTTGCATTGTTGCTCAACCAGCGGCTGATTGGGCGGTCATGATTAGGAACAGAAACTGCTTGCGCGAGGCTACGACGCAAATTATCTTTTATTTTATCCAGATGTGATAGTTTTCGTGTAAGGCGTAAATAATAAACTGTAATATAACGAGAACTCCAGCGCTGCTTTTGTTGTTGTTGTTATCGTCCTTTTTTTTGTGCTTGTTTGCTTTTTTATCGTTGCTCATTATTAATTTGATTGTTCTTTTTATTCAATTTAACATGAGTAGTCATTTTAAGTCTCACTTTTTGATGTAAACAAATATTTTAAAATTTCACGCTCTTCTTGAAAGATGCTTATTTTGCCGGATAAAACTGAAAGCTGTTGGACATACAACCGAGCTGAGGTCAAGAAAGGATTTTGACAAAAACTTCCTGCTTTCAGTTTGTACCACCTATACTGAAGCTTATAGGTCATATTTATTTTTAACCACAGACTGGGCCCGATCATGAGATATTGCTTGTATCTGCCAAATTAAATATAGCCTAGTTATTTCGCCTATTCCGCTTTTGAAGCCTATATTTGGTCATAGTTCTTCTTCTTCATATTTTCATTTTAATTTTTCCGCATGTTTTCTCTCTGCGATGCTCAGCCACGTTACTCGAGAAAGTCATAATATTGAAAGTTGTGTTACTTTCTTTAAAGTCTCCGCCAAATACACGTACGCTGAAACGCAATTTTGTTCTTCTCCGTGCTTTTACGCGTTGCCACGAATGGCATGAATTTTCAGCGACGACAGTTTGATTATTAGAGTAGAAGGCTATGATTGCCGGGACTGAATTAGTAAAATAGGAATTAGGAAAGTCATCACCGAATGTTTCAAATAAGGAAGTATGTCTGTGTTTGTATCATCCGCATTCCCTCAGTACCTGTAAATTACTTTCCAGAGTTATTCAGAGATGCAGTGGCAAAGACTACTACGGAATTGCTTTTAACTGTTCAGGATATCTGATCACTTCCTCAAATTAGCGTTTCTATACTGCAATATAAATAATCTTTGTAGTGATGCTATATACCTCAAGAAGAACCTAGACCCTTATACTAGAGGGGCAATACTATACGACTTAATTGTTTAAACTTACCTTCGGCGTACATAAGGTCAAGCTGAAGACAAGCGAACATTATCAGCTTCATCATAATTTTTAAGATTAAGCTGCTCATACTGCAACAGAGGCTCAAACAAAATGCCTTGGCCAAAACCAACGACTGATGAATTAAATGGTGTTCGAGCAGCTGGGGTAACGCCAAAAATAGGCGTTGCTCTGATGTAAATCCTCTCTTGATATAAATAATGAGGTAAGCAATATCTGCATGTACTAAAACTCGGTAGACGGAACACTGCGGAACACTCGGGGATAAGACAAATGACAGATTGAAGTTCATGTTTCTGTTTGTCTTTTTCAGACATTTAACCTATCATTGCGAATCTTTTAGAGTTATTCCGGGTTGTTTGGTGTTCCTGGGAATCCATTGAACCATAGGGGAAAAAGCCCACTTCCTTGGGGAGCTGATTACTTGTTAGGAAGTCGAAAGTGTCGAGGTCTAGGGAAAAAACACTTTGTAAAATTTACGAGCAAATTTTTTGATAGATATCAGATAATTCTTTGGTGTATTCTGCGTATTAAATTCCTGCTTTTATAGAGTTTCCCAGGGTGACAGATGCCCCGATCTCAGTCCTGCAGTGCTGGCTCCTTCCCAAATTCCAACTATGAAAAACATCCGCTGGCGTAATGGCTAATTCTTCATCAGCTACATAATGTGCCAATTTATAAGGAATATTGTTCTCAGTCTGGCTTTGTACATGTGTCTGGCAAAACGAAACTACTATTTTTCAGCAACTGTATTTTTCGTTCGATTTCGTTTCACAATTTTATGTTACCTGTACTCCTGTTTTGCCATTTGCACGATCACGTCATTTTACTACTACTACCAGAATTCTTTTCGTTTTTCCTTTCATCTTCAAATTTGGTAGTCCCAGCACGGTTTAATCTGCGACCAAGCTCTCCAATCATGGCAAGCAAAACCCCTTGCACTCGCGTCTCCTATAGCGTGCAGCTCTCGCGTGACTTCTCGTGACTCCCCCAAATGTAGGGCATTTGCTTGCAGGCTAAGCGAGGTTTATATAAACAAAACCCTACTTTGCGCAAGAAAGCAATACTCTAAAGGATTCTGGTCGTAGCAATAAAATGATGCCATCATGCAAATAGCCTCTTTATCTTGATAACTGTAGATCTTTGTCATCGTTAAAGAAGCGGGAAGAAAGAAAAAAAAGGAGAAGAACAACAACAGAACAAATCAAGAAACTGTTCCCGGTAGAAACCCAAAGTTTTGCAAGCATTGCAACTCCATATGAATGAACCCTGCAGAGATTATTCTTTAGGCTTTCTGGGTACATGCACAGTTTTAGACAAACCGCAATTTATTTTGACGGAAGCTCTTACCAGGGACCGCGGAGCAAGGTGAAAAGTGGGAGGGCTGACAATTGAAAATATTTTTTTCATATTGAAAATCGAAAAAAGGAATAAAAGGAATAAAACCATAGTATTTGTATGTTAAATGGTCAAACTAAAACTCATCATTTTCACTGCAAGTAGTTGTCGTCTTTTCTGCAGAGCTTACAGACTTTGACGAAGTCCCAGATAACTCTAATAAACGACCAACATACACGGTCAGTTCAGATTCAATGCAAGAAAAGACGGGATTACAATTTTAGTATAGAAAATACTACACTGACGTGATCTGAAAAATTTCTAAGTATGGCCGTTCACTGTTCAAGTAATGTAATTCTTCTTGCCATCGAATATTTCATTGATTCGAAAGGAGAAAGAAAAAATATAAAACTTTTATCAACTCAAAACAACTACTCACCTTCATTTGGCTTGAAAAAGCTAGTAATTTTCTTCATTTCGTCTGATAAAACTGATAAAAAACTCGACCGGAGCTGGAAGTACAAAACACGCTGCCGAACGAAGCGAAAGGGTGGCCAAGGCATGGCGTTTAATCAAGGGGCAAGTCGGCCCAAGGGCACAATTACTGCGAAAAGCACAGGAGCCCCACAAAATGCCTGGCGTTTGAAATTAAAGAAAATACAGAGAATATAGCGGAATGAAGACGAAAAAAAACTTGTTTCAAGTCTTTTTTTTTAAAATTTAATTATTTTTCCTTTAGCGCAAAAAGTGGGGGCGGGGGCGCAAAAAAGTGGTGGGGCCGCGGCCCCACCAGCCCCTCCGCCTCCGCGGTCCCTGCTTACTCCCGATAGGCGAACTGGTAGTTAAGCAGTAACACAGCAACTCAAATGTGCAATCGATATCAAAATTCTTTAATATATGCCAGTGTTATTCATTGTCAAGATATTGGTAATAATGAAGTACATGTATTAGGGAACTTATAAAGCAGCCAACAAGACGACGGTAGCTGATTGGACGTCAAAGAAGTGTACCAAAAAGCGCGATCACTTGCATTGCTCCCGTATGTCTCAAGATGTGTTCACCTGTCATGAGAACACAGGAGAAGCAATGGATAGTACGCGTCCGAGGTTTCCTACCAGACGAGAATCTGGAAACGTTACGCATATGAGACCTTTACCATCTCAGATCGTCGATAGCCTCTAACCAACCGGTTCAAAAATAGTATAATCGAATTCTGTTAAACTATCAAAAGGTAACAAGTATAACATAATCTTCCATAGCTACCATGGTACCTAATGCGAAAAAGTGTTTTGATTCACATAGTCAGTGGTGGTACCGAGGTCAAATCCACTGCGGTTTTTATATCCTATAAGGTTTGTTCGAACAATTCTGTCCTGTGCTGCATAAGATCATGGACGCCCCCTGGACGCCGCTCCTCCACTTCTCCCCATGTAAGGGAAATTTTTTCATGTGGAATCAGGAATCCGCGAGGATTTTGCTTGTGGAATCCAGAATCCTGGCCGCAACTTTGAAATCCGGAATACAGCTCAAGGAATTCGGAATCCTACTTAAGATTGGAATCCAGAATCCAAGTTCCCCTAACGAGGACTAAAATACAGAATTCAAGGCTGTCTCGGATTCCCTTGCATGAAGCTGGTCCAGTAAAACAAGATGGTTTGCTTTACAGACATGCGTTTCCTATTTATAGTAATGTGGTTAAGTCTACCCTGACGAGACAAGTAGGTTAAACTTAACCTTAACATCAAGATGGTAATGGAAAAGAAATTCCAAAAGCATAGATCAAGAAACACAAGGTTAGCAAAAGAACAGCAAAGCCGCGTTCATGAAATTGGACCTTCTGGGAGTACAACTCCCCGAAACAGGGAGGATCAATGCGCCAATCCCACTGTTAACAATAACTGCGGAACATCGTGCTGTATAAAGTGACAAGTAACCATTTGTCTTCATCTCCTGATGAAGATCAGCAAGTGACCAATGAGACAAAACTGAAATATCCTACTAACAATTTTATTATTGTAAAACATTACAAATAAGAGTTGTAATAACCAAAAACTTTGAGCTCTAATGGCTAATAAGTTACACAATATAGTAAAGTTTACCTCGATAATTAATTTTTAATCTATTTCTATAAATTCTCAACCTGCGACAGTCGAAGAGTTAGTACTGGCAGGGTAATCTTCCGATTCACATTCTCGTACTTATTTGTTTTAGCGGCACTAGCTAGATTCACACCCTCATTACATGAATATACAGTTTGGTCTCTTTATATCAGGGTAAAAGTTTAGTGCATTTACACTCCGGTAGTCTGAAGATTCGTGTAAGTTGGCTGCGTGGAATCCGGATCCGCCTTGTCAACCATTACGTCAGCATATACCGTGGGCTCATATGAAGACGGTTTGTGTGCTTCAGTGTCATTTTGAGTTTCGCCAAACTCAGCCACGTCTATTTCAGCATAAAGAAGATCTCCTTCCTTTTTCTGCAAAGGCAACGAGCACGAACAACAACTTTAAACCTGCTTATTAGCGCCCAAGTATTCATATGAGCGTTCTCGCTACCGCTGTGCAATTGTGTTGTGTGATGGAAACTAACTAACTATGAGCTAGACTTACGTTTCTTCCGGGAGAAGAAACAGAAATCTAGCCGTAAAAGGGCCGTGGAACCAAAAACTTTAAAGGTTTTAAAGCCATGAAGTTTATAACACCCTTTAAGGTACGTTTTTTTACTAAAAGCATGTAGTCGATGAGAGATTTCATGGCGAAGAATTTTAGATGAATGGCGATCTGAGTCAACTAGTTGTACCTCACATATTCAAACCTAACCGAATGCTGCAGGATACCTTTCGGTCTTAGTTTCGGTAAAAAAAACACTGAAACTAATAACTAAGAAGCCCGGTGTGTGCCGCCCAGGGGTCTTAAACCCTAGCCCTTTTTAAGGATAAGAACAAAAGCTGATACCAATTTAAGACCTAAACCTGAAAAAAAAAGAGTCCCAATTCAAAGGGAAAACAAAAACTAAGAATTTAATGGGAACACCCAAATCTTCCCAAGATCTCTTTCCTAATACTCTTCTCTAAGGTGAGATGAGTTGTTTCTCGTGTAGCTAGGCATTTACCCACTTAAATTTTAGCTGAGAAAATAAACGGAATTCGATCCACCAAAACACAACGCCAACGAGAGCAAAAAAGATGCTTGGGATGGACCCCTCAAAAGCCATACCCTATCGGGCGGCACAAAGTGGGAGTACCCCATCGGACTAATAAGGTACCTTTTTCTTGGCTTTGTTCACTACTGCGTATTCATGATCCATTTCAGGGGACTCTTGCGTCGTATCTTCTTCTATTGGCTAAAAACACCGGCAAGATAATTTATAAGAGCGTTGAAGATGACGACAATAACGTCAATACTCTGTGACAAACAATTAGGTGAGGTTGCAAGATGATTTAGCACCCATTATAGCCGCGCGCGCGTTTCCTAACTATCTTGCCGATTTGCACTGTTGCAGATCGGGCTTGACTGCAGAATACCCGGCCATTGCAAAGCTATTCCACTTAAAAAGTGGCTACGTGGCTAAGGGGCTAGTGGGTACGGGGCTACTTAGAATAGCAGCTCACTTCGAAGCTAATACCCCTTATACTCCAATTTACTCCCACTACCACACAATTTACGTCGTTCTATAAGCATTTCTGTTCGGGTTAGACTTGGTTAGGGGACTGACTCGGGGTGAGGATAAGAGTTAGAATTATCTCACCCACGTACCTGCATTCTCTGGGTTTGGGTTAGGGTTAGGGTGAGGGTGAGAGTTAGAGCTGTGATTCAGTTTAGGGTTATGGTTAGGGTTAGCTACGTAGCCGCGTAGCCACTTAGGGTTAAAGTTACTGTTAGGGCTAGCCGTGTAGCCACGTAGCCACGCAGCCACGTAGCCACGTAGCCACGTAGCCACTTAGAGTTAAAGTTAGAGTTAGGGATAGGTGCGTAGGGATAGCTAACCCTAACCCTAACCACGTAGCCGCGTATAGCCGCGTAGCCGTGTAGCCACGTAGCCACGTAGCCACTGGGAGCATAGTTTCAAAATGGTCGGGTATTCTGCAGTTACTCCGCAGATCGTGCTGTGACAAGCTTTGGATTGACCAACCAGTCAATGAAATTGATGATTCTATTTTTTGATTAAAATCTTCTGGCAATCAAGTTTGGAGAGACGAAAACATGGACATATCGTTTTCTAGAAGGCGCCCAAAAGAAATTGCCTCGATTCAGCCTCAATTTCATCCTACTTTTCTCAATGCTGAGAATTGTAGTGTTTCTCTAAAACTCACGAATCAAGAAGCCTTTTTTTATTAGACGACATTTTGGCGAACTTACCTATAGCTACAATAGTTTTTCATTATCATTTGCAGCAAGACGTTGATAGGATATTCAATACACACCTCTTTTCGGTCGTTTTTCTTTACCATAGCGTATTCAGGTTGTTCGTTCTCAGGGCGACTGTTGGTATTGTTCGTTTTCCCAAGCAGCATGGCGGCCTCAGCCGGGTCGATGGGTTCGCACTGGTTCTCTGGCTGGCTCGAATGGCTCCTTGAAATAAGTAAGAGACAAAAAATAGTTGTCAATAAGTGTAGGAACGTCAAAACCTGTGATCCGTGACATTGGGTGCGTGATTTAAATGGGTGCAATAGAATATACACCATTCACTAAAAAAATGTTTCCTTTAAAAGATCTTCAATAAACACGTCAGAGAAAGTGCAGTTACTCCATAAAAAAATGTAGTCCACGACAAAGTGTAAAAACATCATCTTACTTGTTGAAATTAATGTAGCTTGAGACTAAACAAATACTCTAGTGTATTTACCAGGACAATACATAGACTACGTTAGGTGATTTGCGGGGCAAATAAAATGTACACGAGCCATCGACTTTGTTTAAAAATTATATATAGCCTTTAGCTCGGGCCATTTTCTTTCACTGGCTACAAGCAAAAGCTTAAACTGCAATAATGGTAATGTCTACAATTGAATAATAACAAGGAAGAAACCAAAAAGCAATTGAATCATGCTTACAACGACTTATTTGCTTTCCCATCAGCACCTTAAAGAAAAACAATTATATATATATTAAGACCTTGTTTTTCATTCATTTTCTTTTTCAAGAGTTTCAAGAAGAAAAGAAAATGTTTCAAGGGTGACAGCTAAAATTCAGTGAATATTATTGTAGGGATCGGATCGAAAACCTTAAGAAAATCCTCATTATGTTCTATGCCAGATAATTTGTTTCTTAATAAATTATGTCCGACGAGTTTAAAAGTCACTGATTCTCTGACTTAAGAAACAGGACTCCAAAATGAGTTGAGGGGTATATATATGTTGAAAATGTGGATTTGCTGGGTATCCGTTTTGGTATATGATGGAAACACGTGCAATATTTAAACTAACTTAGGTATTGCATAGAGCTAACACTGTAATTAGAAAATAATAATTTATACGAAAATAATAATTTAAATCAAAACAGAAGAAAAGAAAGATGGGGCATTCTTAACTTTTTAAATAATAAAACGCAGTCATTTTCTTCTTTTGTCGTCTGTTTTTAGAAGAGGACCTTATTATATTGCATTGTAACTGACCGTTAGACTAAACTACCTTATGTAACTATAATTATTCTAAAGCGAAATGTAAATGAAGCTTGTTGTTGTTGTTGTTGTTGTCAGGGTACAATTAAGCCTGTCACACCTAGAACGGTCGGAGTTTAATTTCCGACGGGTAGCGGATCCGGTACCCTTTTTCAGTATTACATGGTAGCCCGGCGTTTCTTCTCTTCGGGCTCTACCTTTCCAAAAGACAGAGCTAACAAAAGCTAAGGAAATAGTCTGAATAAAAATTGTTTACAACATTAACATTGTCCTGTTGTTGAGAGCAAGTTACCATGTGATTGTCGTCTCTTCCGCCTCAGAAATAGAACTACACCAAGTACAATTAGTGCAATGAATAAGATAGCTGCAAGGGTCGCCGCTACTATAACTATTGTGTCATCTTTGTCCTCGCCTAACTGCGGATTTGTAAATCCTAAAAAGGGGGCAAAAATGTGATATAAAAAGTATACACGTGATGCATTAAATCATGTTTCCAGGATAAAACTTTTATTATGGGAAAAGAAAAACTAAAACCGAAAACTGAAAGTTTTCCACTAATCAAGTATCGCCTTCAGATAAAAGAAGCCGTTCGAAAAGAGCATTATATGTTTTAAGCAATTCCCATGCAGTGGGAAAATTTGAAGCTCTCTCTATTTGCTACGGTTTTTTTTTTTGGAAGCTTAATTCCTTCTCTATTTCTTTCTCTCTTTCTCTCTCCCTCTCTTCCTGGCCTTGTTCGGTTTCTTTATAAAGGAAGTATAAATGATAAAGAAATTTACTTCAAAGTCGTGGAGTACAATTATGTTACCTTGAGGAAATTATCTACAGATCCAAGAGCTTTAAGGCATTTACGTTATTTTCTTCCATTTCAAACAGTGTCTTCGCTATATGATCAAATGCGGTAACAAATTTGATCATGATCATGATCACGATCTAATTAATCGAATTTTAATAGACTACGAGCAGTCCCCATTTTTCCTCAGGGATAGTAAAGCGAGGGAAAAGCGAGCGCGCGTGAAGATCACCCCACGCGAGAAAGGCGAGACGCGGCGGGGAGAGAGAAAAATGAGGGTCCCTCATTTTTTATTGAGAAATATGACTAGCATGGACTAAAGCTTGGCAAACCTGGGGGTTGAGAAGCTGAATTTGTACTGTCTGTTTCTGTGGTGGTGAACTGATGTAATGAGATTGTTCTGGGTTGCGGCCTTTTAGTAGGTTTCGTCACGTTATAATGTCTCATACAGACACTACTTATATTGCCAGATATGTCGCAGTTATCTGTAAGGGAAAAAGATAAAGTTAATTAAGGTGGCTCGATAGAGTTTTTTAGGGTCAATACCTCACAAGTTGGAGCATAAATTACGTCGCCATTAACAAAGATTTGGAAAAATTACCACCACAGCTGTATAAAAATGAAAATATGTTATGACCGGGGTTACATGACATCATGACGATGACGCCATCACCTATTTTACTTGCAGCCGTATTTTTCGGCACTAGGAACTGTTCTTAAAAATCAATCACGAGAAACTTTCCTTCCAATAGCCGCCTCAATGTTTGAGAAATTTAAGCGAAATCTGTGAGAGCGTTATCGAGATAACTTAAAAGGAAGCTTTAACGGCTAGCGTTATTTTTTCGAGGACGAGCTTTTTGCATACATATTTCAAATGCATCGTCAGTTGCTGCTGTTCACTTGAAAATAAAACTTGTTGGAAACAATACTCCTGAATAATGAGAGGCTGTCAGCGAATTACAGCCGTAATTTTGCCACCTTACAATATATCACTTATCTTGAAACTCAGTCATGGTTTAAAAACCATTTGCTTATTTGTTATAGTAAACAAACATTTTTACAATAAACCGCTGACTAGAGCGCAGCGTATCGAGACATACAAATAAAATCCATTTATTCTAATTCTAGAATTATGGCGACTTATTTTATGCTCAAACTTGGGAGGTATTGACCCTGAAAAACCCTATCGAGCCACCTTTAGTCGATTTAAAATGAGAAAAACAATTATAAAATGACTTATTAAACAAAAACCTTTTCTCAAAGTGGTTGCGATCTGCGGTCCCTAGTCGTGCCAAGAAGTTATTCAATAAAGTTGTTTTAATTACAATTACGAATCACGACGCATCGTTTTCACAGTATTTAAAACAAACACAGCTCGTTACAATTAAGTAGCAGTTATAACTACTGCGTTTGTACTGCCAATAAAACGTTGCTTCGGTGACCGTCTTTTAAGAGGCTACTTAGTCTGAAGGTGAAATGAAAAGTTCTAGCACATTTGAGAATACACCTACGTTAATGTGACTTAGTTTTACCTGTTTCTTGCTCGCAAATATAACCTCTTGTTATAACTCCTTTATTGCTGCTGAATGTCCCATAAGAACCTGAAGGAAAGTCCTTATGAATGAGACCGTAAAGGTCCTCAGGGCCTGGTTCATTTTTTTGCCATTTGCTTAAAGTTAAAGGTTTACCATTGATCCAGGTCCAGTTTCCACTTGCATAAAACAAACCAATGTGCCACTCATTATGTTCGGTATCTAGCTTCCCAATTTCGTCGGTAATAAATTGCCACTCTCTTTCAGTCTCCATGACAACAAGATGTTTATTTGTAGCCTCACAAGATTCATTTGCCTTTTTCCAGTTCAACACTTTGTCGTTCATCTCACCTTCAAAAGTGTAGCAAGAACAAGCCTTCTGTCCCTCTAAGCAATATAAGAAAAGACAAAAAAGACGGATTATGCCGACTATAAAAGCACCTGATCATGAAAAAAGTGATGGTGGAGGTGGGAAAACAATAAATCTTACACAGGCAATCATCAAGAAAATATCCTTGCGAGCCAACCCCTCTCACAGCTGACCCCACCCCCATCACGTTTCTAATAGTCCATCCCTGAAGTAAACCCTTATGATGTGTGTGTGTTGTTTGCACATTAAGAGAAATGGCGGAGCTTGCCTAACGTAGTTCAGGGGTCAATTTAATAAAAGTTTTACAAAGTGTAATTTACAAGTCTAGAAATTGTTTTAGAGTCTGAAGCAACAACTCGCCATTGTATATTACACTCGTAGAAGTTTTATTAAATTGAACCCAGGCCGCCGGGGAGTGGGGCCCATTACAATGAAGGCCTCTCTCTGTTCTTAAAAAAGATAGAGGCTGAAACAGAGAAAAAAAAAAAAGAAAGAAAGAAAGAAAGGAATAAGCTTCGAGAAACTGGTTGGTCTGATGAAAAATTTTACGTCTGACGTGTACTATATATGAATTACTAAGGATAACCGTTGGCATACGATCTAAATTGATATATGAAACGAATCATATATGTGAAATTCCAGTGAGGAATCTTCGAGGACACACACAAAAAAGAAAATGAAAACACGTTAAAAGTTATCCATTTTCTGTGTTTGTGTCTGAATTTTAATCTATGAACAGTTATACCCGCTGGTCGAGACCTTGTACTCGGGCACTAAAGTGGGCACCGGGTCCCTGTATGCACGCGGTTTCTGTTGGTTCCCAGGCAGTGCTACCCAAACAATCAACTTCTTCGCATTACCATAACTCCTTGCTACGCTCCTTTTGCAAAAATGGCGTCTGCTGACGGAGCAAAGTGGACGAAAAAAAATTTGCGTACCCAGAGTGTGGACAAAGCACATTTTGTACCCGTCCCCGGGCATTAGTGTGAACGTTCCCTGACATAACCTCCCTCGGGAACAAAATATGCGGAAACGCTGCATAACATATGTTGCGTGACTGACTGTTCGCACACCACAAACCCTCGTTCATCTAAATATTTAGAAAATCACGAAAAAACATGGACGTCCTCCTCCTGTTGTGGCAGATTCATTAAGACCTTTAAACGCCAACGAAATAAACTATAAGCGACCGCCATCTTGGGAAATTAACACAGAGTGTTAACTATTCTCTGATTAGTTCATTTTGTGTAGCACTTCCTTCTTCATGAAAGTAGCAGACGAATTTTAACTTGCATTGATTGAAATGACCATGTAGTATATCAAATTGTACAACTCTTACTTAACAAAGGTATTATTAGGCTTCAAAGTACCTCTTGCAAGATAATTTGCTCTTACAAATGAGAAATGTAAACAGATCATGACCGTGATGAAATCGTTTCATACAATAAATCGCAAATGTTAATTCTGATCAGGTAAACCTACAAAGGAGCCGTCATATTGTCTTAGAAACTACAAATTATATATCCTTACCTGTTTCGAAACGTAGTAGCCATAGAACAAGAGCTATTCGCACATAAGGCTTCGCGAAATACATCCTCTAAATAGTGACAATATCTCAAATACTTTGAATGTCCATGCGTACCATCAGTAACAATCCCGGGGGAGGGACTCCACATATAAAAGGGGTGGGGATGCTCGTCGTCTCCCTTCGGGTTGTAAATTTCGGATTTTGGTGTCACTTAGGGTGTTCTGGGAAAACGCCATCATTTTTAACCGTGAAGGTCTCGTTTAGGGTTGCACGTGACTGCACTGCACGTGAATATAAAATTATGTGTATTGTCTGTGTTTTAACATGGTCTCCTTTAGGGGTAAAAAAAAGCTTAGGCTTCGTCCGGATCGGTCTCTTTTAGGGGTTTCATTCAAAATTTCTGACTAGCATCCCCACCCCCGCCGGGGTAACAATGCTCCGTTCAATATTAAAAATCAAACCTTGAAACATGCAACTTCCGGTCAGCCGGTCAGACAGAAAGTCACGCCTGGCAAAATTCTACTCATTACAGCAGGACTCTAATTTGATACATTTGGAATTCCAGTTATCTAACCTTGAAGGATAGATAAGGGAGCATTATTCATAATTTATGAGGTTAGGAAGGGGTGATTGCTTTAAAAGTGGGAGAGGGGTAGGAGCTCTAAAAAGACTGAACGTTTTAAAGTTGGAGACTTGGAAAGGGGAGGGGGGCATCAAGAGTTAGATCGGTACATCCATCCATTAGATAAGAAATCGTGTTCAGGTCTCTTTTGTAAGTGAATTTGAACACAGTCAATCTCATTTTCATCAATACACTCTTTTTTTTTCTATAAGGGATATATCGAGGCTGAAATTTACGAAAAAAATTGTTCTTAATATTTTAAGAATATACCCGAGGCTGGGATTTTGTTCATAGAAGTCAGTTGAGTGTTAATTTTTAAGTTAGCAATAAGGTCAACTGATAAAATTATTCCCTTCTCTAAACGGCAAAACTAGCCGACAAAACGAAAAAACAGCACTAAAGCAAATGTTCATTGCTTATTAGATCGTTTTCACTGTCACGCAACAAAAAAATATATTGGAAACCGTCCACTGGAAGAAGCCAAGAAAATAAAATGTTATAAAAGACTAATATATAAACAATTTTTCCATGTCTCAGGTCTTTGTAGCCCACAGTTTCTGAGTTTTTGGCCTAAACTTTTCACGCACCTTTGTAGAGCTTTGTATGAAGACGCCATATTGGTGTGCCGTTTTGGTGCACAGAATATGGCCGCCGGGAAATCAACAAAAACATCTGGAGTTCACTTTTCCGATAAAAGCTCTTTGTTTTCAATCGAGAACTAACATACGTGCGCATAAACATATCTTCTAATACTTGAAATGGTTGTACTGCTGAAAATCAAGAGGAGAGACTTTTTTTCAACTACAGCATTTCTATTTTGGTGTCACGCACTGTGAAAACTCGGAAGTTCAAATTGCGGTATTTTCGAAATGAGACATGCTACGGGAATGGAAACTTGTACAAAGATTTACTTTTTGTTTAAATCCCTGGACTCTTTGACACCCCGTGAAATCAGTTTAACTCGAAGTTGTCTCAACCTCACTGCTTTAATAAAATGAGAAATTTCGCCGGTCTATTGAAACCGGTCGTTTGTGCAATAAAGCCAGTAGAACGCCACGTGTTATTTTTGTTGAATAATACAGGACTAATAAAAGAATAAATATCAAACTAGAAATTGCTCTCTTCAAACTGTAAATTATAAATGGTCCTGAGAGAATATTCAGTATGTTAAGGATTTCCCTGCTGTACTGTTAGCTCTATACAAGAGAGGAAGGGCGATTCTTTTTTAATTTCCATTTCGCTGACACCGCTTTAGTAGAAATCTTTCTTTAGTCTTTTTCGTCGACAAAACGAATAGCAATATCGCTCTCCGCGTCTTCCGCCATTTTTTTCAGCGTCAATTCGTGAAGGACACGTGGCTCTGAGCGTGCGTCATCCCGCATTACAAGCCGCAGGCTCGATTTTCGGGGGATTGCGACGTTCAGCGTCGCAATCTTCGCATATTTCTGAAGGGCGAGGCGCCAAGTCCATCGTTTTGAACCAAGGGTTATATTACATCAAGAGACCCGGAGCCTATCTTAAAGCTGTCAACAATGTTCGTTTTATTGAGCAATCTTTCATCTTCGACACTTAATCCAGTTTATCTTAAGTGGACACCCAACCTAGTTGCTATTCACGTGCACTGTCGAAAGCATAATATCTAATAGACTTCAAAAATTCTGCATTGGAGCTTCACTTTTCGTCTTTAATTTTAGCCGACCCACTTAATAAACAATAAATAAGAACAATATTACCGAAAAATAATTACAACTGAGAACTTGATGAATAAACAATGAAAACAACAACTCAATTATCTCTCAGGGAGATCACCCGCCAAAGCGGATACCCGCGAGGTTTGTTCGGTTTCAACATAGACGGAGGAAATTTTTACATCGCCAGTATAGATCTGGCCTAATTGTCACATTTGATCGAAGAGAGATATTTACGCAAAAAAAAAAACTATCACAGTTCACAAATGATTTAGACATTATCTTAATATTTTACCTTAAACTGTCGAAATTAAAGTATTGCCGCCCGCGGACAAAACTAGCTTTTTTCCGGTTTCCGGTGTACATCAAACACAGGCATCACGCTGAATATTATCCAGACTGAGAGCCGTAGATCAGAAAAAAAATCACAATGACTAAATTTCGCTTTTGAAACCAACACCACTTGTC